TTAGCGTCACTGTTTTATTCTCTATTTTGTCCTTGATACACTGCTTTTTGAATTATGTAAATATTGCTTTTCGCTTGGTTTTTATCAGCCTTTTTCCAAATCCTAGTAAAATCGTAAAATTCGGCCGGTTATCTTCGCATAAGCACCTCTTTTTCGTCCGGCACTAAAAGGGTTAAATTATATATATTTCTATCAATTCGGGCGCGCCGGTCACCGGTGGCGCCCATGGCGTCATCGCCAAGTTAAGTGCCGGTCACCGGTGACCCCCGTAACATTCAACGTGTTAATCGCGGCAGTCGAAAGAAACTCAAACTCGGGACGGTTTCGTCGATCCGTCTTTTCACAGGCTTCGGCGACGGTGTTCCCTGGCGCCGATTAGCCCAATGAGTAATTCCGGGCAGAATTAATGCGCGGGCGCTGGATGCACGCGAAGGCGCCGATCGAATTTAACCACAAAAACCGCGTGTGTAATGAGTGGAACGCTGCGAGCCAGTCGAATACAAGCCGCGGCCCGGTTTTTGCCCGCTTTTTACCGCTGAATTTTCGCAAAAAGTTTACACGTGATTTTCATCTAATGTCCGGCGTTTCCTCTGTTTCTCAACCACCGAGAATTCCTCGTTCTCGCTCGGCCGATGCGCGGAGCCAGTTCGCTATCTCCGACGATTCAGTTTTCCCACGCATAACTGGGCAACCATGTCGAAGAACACACTCGCATACGTTCGTTACGTATCATCGATACAAATTAGCCGATGAAAGGAAAGATTAAGACTCCTGCAAATCATTATTTTGCAAAAAGATCCGCAGTCGTGTATCTACAAAGATTAGCCAACATTTTCATTATAATTACTTCATCACATCCATTTCGCGAGACACGGTCGTATTATTCAGTGCGGACGTTCGCGCAGATTCTTTTGCAATTTAATCGAGTTTCGAATTAGTAAACGGTAATGTATCGAGTGAAAGAATGGTCGATGAATTTTTATTCCGCGGTATCGAGTAGACCGTCGCATTCCTAAATAACGCAAATATTTCGCGTGCTCGAACGAAACGTGGCACGACGATTAATTCCAACTAGCCGAGCTACTCGCGATCGGTAGCGCACGAAATCGAGCTCTCCTCGTAATTACGATTTTAGACGCAAAACGAAAGTCCGAGTCGCGCGCGCGCGCGCGCGTCGCGAGAATTTCCACGATGACCGCGCGCTGTCGTCGCGATTTGCTCTCGCATTAGCGCGAACCCGCGACACCGCCGATGGCTAGATTAATCGACCGAAAGTTCATTGGAGCAGCATTTATATAATAACCGGTTGCAATTGGCGTCATTAGCGGATCTACGAACGGACTTAATCAACGGCCGACAGGCGCTGCCGCCTTCGCCATCAAAACCCGTTGTCAAGCCAAATTGATATTCGTTCATTTATGACGTCGGCCAATAGCGCTAAACGCTTCGCTTCGCGCGCGTCGACGGCGTGAAACTGTGACGGCCAATCGATCGCGCCGATAATCTCGATCTCTCTATCTTTCTCCGCGGGGCTCCGCGGGGAACCGTCGATAGGAAATCGGCAAAAGCGAGCTAAAAAGAGGGGAAGCGAAACAGAAATCATCGAGCCCGGCAATTAATTCTTATCGGTGCAGTCCGGGACTGACTGTGATTAGGCCAGAATACAGATTATTTTCGCGCGATTCCGATATTTAACGCGTATCTCGCGCGCTATCGATAACGGCGATCTCCTATCGGCGCCCGGCAGCCTCTAACAGATAATTATCGGCTAACTCGTTACCCGGGAGTACGTCGCTGATTCGAACGACCGGGTATAAAACGCTGCGGCGCTGACCGACTATCGAACTTAAGCGTGCTATGAATTATTGTTGACAGGCCGGATCGAACCGTGACTATCGGCGCCCCATCAACGGTGGCTCGCCGTTAATCGGTTACAAAACATTAGGAACGCTCTTATGGGAAACTGTCGAACAACATCGATACCATACGGGAGCAGAAGCTGCACGAAAGTACCTTTAAAGGCGGCGCAGCACAATGGAGAGTCGCGGAGACGGAATATAAGGCGAAGAAAAACTGTCGGTAGAATATGGAGGCCCCGTATCTGGAGAAGGAGGAGGCGGCGGAGGAGGAGAAGGAGGAGGAGGAGGAGGAGGAGGAGGAGGAACGAGGCGAAGAAGTAGCAGCGAAGAGAATTTATTACCGGGCGAGACGCGGGTCCCCGAAGAGGGAAGAGCGAGCATAAGCAGTTAGGGTACCTGCACGAACAAATAACGGAGAGGTGGGAGGGCCACGATACCTACAAATGAGGGGCGCGCGAGCGAGAGAGAAAGAAAGAGAGAGAGATAGAGAGAGAGAGAGGAGAAGGAGGAGCAGAGAGAGAGAGAGAGAGAGGCAAAGAGAAAGAGAAATCTCTGGAGAGGTCCAGCCTCGTAACAGGTGTACGGGGCTCCGCGGAGAATTGCCCTCCGCAGCTGAGCCACGTGAAACTCGGATTTACGCCTGACAGTTAATGGCATAATTTTTTCGACTGCCAGCTGAAGATAAGGATTAATTAAAAGAACGTGCGGGCCCGCGCGACGCGTGTGTTACATTGCAACCAATCGGGAGGGATTCGGAGGGACACGCGAACCGCACGATCTTAATAACATAAAGCGGGCCCGGGATACATTGTAGTAGTACGCGTTTGCCCGATTTTAAATACGGAGCGCGCCCGCAGCTGGAAGCGACTACCCGCGCGTAATTGCCGGCTATACGCTCGCGGGACAGCTGTGGCCGCCGGGGCGAACCAACGGAGACGCGTATCAACGCGGATCGCCTCGAAAATAACTTGTCAAAAAATATTTTCCGCGAGGTGTACCGGTTGGCCGCAAGGACGACCGCCGGGCTTCATGGGAACCACTGGCGAAACGGCGCGCCTCGCCGCGGGAACGCCGCGCGCAAAGCCTGACTCTGGGGTACCGGCGAACGCAGATCCGATCGCCGATAACACTCTCTCTCTCTTTATCTCTCTCTCTCTCTCTCTCTCTCTCTCTCTCTCTCCGGGTGCATGCGGTGCATCGGGGATAAGGTGGGGTCGTACCTCATTTTCGGCCGAGGGCGCGTGGTCGGTTATCGATATCTCAATGCGTCTCTGCCCCCGACCACCACCAACATCCTTCGACGATGCCTACACCAGAGTTTTCTCTTCCGAACTCTTCCGAATAAATAATTGTCTATGACAATTATCCGAATGAACTTCTGTTATTTTATTCGAATAATTCTTTATTCGATTAATTCTGTATTCGACATAAATTGTTCTACCTATATTTATTCGAATAATTCTATTACTCGATTAATTTTGTATTCGTCATAAATTGTTGTCTAAATTTATTTGAATAATTCTTTATTCGATTAATTCTGTATTCGACATAAATTGTTCTATCTATATCTATTCGAATAATTCTTTATTCGATTAATGCTGTATTCGACATAAATTGTTCTGTCTATATTTATTCGAATGATTCTTTATTGGAATAATTCTGTATTCGACATAAATTGTTCTATTCTATATTTATTCGATTAATTTTTTACTCGATTAATGCTGCATTCGACATAAATTGTTCTACCTATATTTATTCGATTAATTCTGTATTCGACATAAATCGTTCTATCTATATTTATTCGATTAATTCTGTATTCGACATAAATTGTTCTGTCTAAATTTATTCGGATAATTCTTTATTCGATTAATTCATTATTCGTGCAAGAATTACATCAGAAGCGTCAATATGAGAAGTCTCGCAACTAAAATACAAATCGTAATACAGTAATGTCTCTCTAATTGACGCCCAGATTGACCACAAAAATAGACAATTTGGGAAGAGGAGATACGATTATTCGAGCCTTGTGATTTATTTTTATAGTTATAAATTGTCCACAATTATAAAAACGAGCCGCAAGGCTCGAATAATCGTATCTCCTCTTCCCAAATTATCCATTTTAGTGGACAATCGGAGCGTCAGTAAGGGAGACATTACTGTAGTTACACTGTCTCCCTAATTGACGCTCAGATTAAAAATGTAAAATGTACTATTATTAGTATTATTATGGTATTAATGCATCGTCTTATAATAATTTGTATGCAATTTGTATAGCCTTTCCAAGTCCATTCGGGACACAGCCTCGATTGCAAAGGATATTGAACGTGAAAATGATGACTTCGAATTAGAACCGTCAACATCTGAAAGAAGCAGCCAAATTTCTGACGATGCACAGAATTGATATAATATACAGTATATTTTAAAAGAGAGCATCCACTGATACGACCTATATATTTTGGCTATAACGCGCAAACGAATTCTTATTCGAATAAAGCTTCGTTCGAATGAATTTTTGTCTATGGATAAATTCTCTCTTATTCGATCGGACGCTAATTCGATAAGGTCGATCGAAATTCTATCTATTCGCGCCGAATAAAATTCGATCCATTAAGTCGGGGGTGTCAAACTCGCGGCCCGAGATGAACATTTTTGTTGTCAAATATCAGGACGTAAACAATAATTTAGCTTCATATATGTGTTTATTACAATATACTAGTCAAAATAAAAATATTTATTCCTATGAACATTGATTTTTTTTGCGACCCACCTAAAGTCAAGCATTGTTTATTTATTATTATGGCCCAGGTTAGCTTTCGAGTGTGACACCCCTGCATCAAGTCTTTATCTTTTATCCGTCACCCGAACGAATCTGCGACCAACTCTGGCACTCTACTATGTACCCAGACGCGCGCGCGCGCGAGCGCACGCTCGCGGACGAGGCGAAATACCTGTTGGCGCACCGGATCGGGTAAAAAGGAAAAGAGAGCAGCGATGACGAAGAGCGAAGGATGGGAGAGGAGAACGATGAGACGAGCCACGACGCCGAAGAGACTCGTTAACTCCGGTAGCCAGGCTCTTTGGCGACTTTGCGATCGCGGCAGGTATGTACACCTACTTAACGACCCGGCCCAACCCAGCTACCTGTTCGACCATAGAGAATGATCGTTTTCCTAGCGCCGGCGCGGCAATCGTTCTCAGCGGGCCGTTACGGAAGCGAGGTAACCGCAACCAAGAACCGCCGAGCGCCGCCTGGAATAACCGGACGAAGGATGAGCCTCGGCCAGCGCGCAGTCCAGATTCAACACCCAGATTACGATTAACGATCGGAAAACTCCGGCTTATCGGGCTCGGCTTTCACCATTGCTCCATCAGTTTCCCCCGGGTTCCCCGTTGCTGCTGCTCCTTTTTTCCCCCTCGATTACACACGTTCGCTCGTTCGCCGCCGCACAGTTCCGACGTTCGAACGCGCGCGCTGTCGCAGCGGACAGCAACCGCGAGGAACACTGTTGTGTGCCCGACGCGACGCGGCTCCGAGTTGTTTAGCCGGGTATGCGCAAGCCGGCTACCGGACCAGGGGTTCCCGGGATCGCACGTGTGCCAGCCGCCCGGCGCAGCCTCTGAAACGAGATGCGCGACCTTGAACTCGAACCCGGGGGTCGATCGATAGGCGCCACGCGCCTCTCTCCTGACCTATAAACACCGGGAATTTCGGGAGAACACGGTAGTCTCGGGACGAACGCGTGGCCTGCTTCTGCGATCCCAGGACGTCCGCACGCTCCCCATTGTCAACCCTCGAGGGTTCCTTGATGACCGCTAATTAGATCAAGCTGCGTATTCATTCTCGTATCATCGGATCGTATCGAATCGCGTATTTTTATGCCCAACGATGAAACGTCTATTGGCTCTTTCAATGCGGATAGTTCTTAAATGTGCATTTTTCGTCTATATTTAATATCGGCTATTTATTTTACATCTGGCAAAATTGTTCTTTTACATTTTTGCTACGTTTTTATTATCATGTATTTATCATTGTTACTGTACTTGTTTCGTTTTATCTTATAATTTTACCTCGTAAATAAAATAAAATAAAATACAATTTTTCTTTGTTCTGTTTTATGTTTTTCTAGCATTTTATAAACGCAGGAGAAGTCAGTCAATTAGGAAATTAATTTACCTATCATTCAATACTTAATGTCTGTCAATTGGTAATGTTGGTTTATACAACGATACTCTCACACACACACATGCGACTTCACATACAGTTACTCTTCTTTACATAAAGTACATTTTATATCCGCTAGGTGCTTTTTTAATTACTGTATTATATTTGTATTGCATTATTAGCAAATAAACAGTGACAAATTCTAACAGGTAATACGAAATTAAGTAAATTTGCAAACTACCCTTTACTGCTTTTTGCTCAAGAATGCACGTACGTTGCATTTGGAATGCTGTGGAATAAGTAAACTTATGCGATAATAAGAATGAAGCTTACAGATCCATAGACTAGCATATAGATAAAAATGAAGGTCCGCTTTGTGGTGAGAGAAGGTCGTCGAAACCCGGAGAAATAAGGGATGCGTACTCCTAGGTATGTACTACCTAACAGCAATAAAAATATTAATATGTTATTTGTCTCTCTAAGAACGATACTGAGAAATCATATTCATTTCAGGCAGTGTAAATATCTCGAAACGACGACGCCATATGGCGTTGTGCTAAAAGTCGGAGAACACTTTAATACATTGATTGTTGATCACTTAATGCAATTGTCACGAAACTGTACCCTAATCTTGTAAATTGCGTTTAAAGCTTTAAGCGGATCTGAAAGTTTTTTCACTGATATACGTTCTTAGCAGTAATTGACAGATAAGTAAGTATATTAACGTTATTTTAATTTTAAGGAATATATCATGCATAAAACTGTTGTATAACCTCAATAGTACGCATATATTCATTTCTGCTTTATATTAAAAATGTGGTCGACGTCTCCCGTAATTCTGGTATAGACCAATCACACTAATCCAAGAGAGTTCAACCATGGTAATTCTTCTATCCGGTTTTCTCCAAATGGAATTTGCTTTCTTTTCAAGTTGCAAATAGCTTAATTTCCAAAGCATTCCGTTCGGCTTAGCGAGACAATACCCGTATTTCCACAAACAAGCGTAACTGTCGTGGTCAGAAAACGCGGTGGACAACTTGCAAACATTACAAATAGTTCAGAGAACATGAAGACAGAGAAGAACAAGGGAACTATAAAGGAACGCTTCAACAACTAGAAAGCAACTAGAACAATCGTCCGACTCAAGCAGAGATAATCCACTTTTACAAGAAAGTGACGCGTTATTGAAAGAATGGAATCAAAATGAATGCGTGAGATGCAGAAGAGACTATTTCGAAACCACAAAAAGTGACGACTGGCGTAAATGTGTGAGGTATAATCGTTGGTATAACGAGAGGTGCTCCAAATATGAGAATTTTTGTGATTTATGCAGAAAGCTGGGGAAAATTGACGTAAGAATTAGTTTCTTTATTTATAATACTTTTTATAAGCTACGGTCAAGGTTATTTTTCGAGATCGCTCTCATCCGTAGTAAGTGGACGCTCTAACCCGGTGATGCGGATGAGAACGTCCACTTGCAGTATTTTTGTCTTTTGCTTGAAAATGGTAGTATATATTTTAAATTGACACAAAATATTATATATATATATATATATATATATATATATATATAATATTTAATAAATAAAATTTTATTGTATTAACAGTAATATCTAAGCAATATCTAAGCAATATCACTTAGATATTGCTGTTAATACAATAAAATTTTGAAAAACCACAGCAATGCGATACTTTTCTCAAAAACTAGTCGGACTCTTTCGGACTTACACTACACAATTTCAGCAAATATAATCAAAAACAACAGAACAAGTCGCTGAGCGGCGAAAGTTCGAATCCTTCCGATGTTGCATTTTTTGATTTCTTGCGTTTTCACGACGATGCATTTTCACCCGGCGAAGTATTTAAGCCCGATGTATATATATATTTTCCGTAGATTTTCATAGACGCCCGTAGCGCTCGAACGGTTAACGTTCGGAAGTCGACCGTTGGATATTTACGCGCGTGGGAGGATAACAGTCCCGGCGACTTCTATTTCACACCGTGCCGAGTCCTTGATAAGATTTTTCCCGGCGGGAAAAGTGGTCGCGTAATCGAGAAAACCGGGACAAATGGCCGAGACAAATCTTCCTGCCGCGAGAGCGAAGTCAATCGCGCCTGACTTTGCCGAAGCGGTCGCGTGGGCGTTAATTACTCCGTTAAAACCAGCTCGCGTTAGTGGGAGTATTACACGAGAGACGTGGGCACGGAACGTCGGACAGATACGAGCGGCTATCGCTCGGCTCGTTGTAAGTATGTTACACCGGCTCGCCCGCCGATAGACACGGTTCGCGATCATTTTTCTCTTCCTCGTTTTAAGCCGATCAAAAACCACCCAAGTAAGTGTCTCGGCTGACCGATAGACACATAACGATACGCAGCTGCTAAGCGGTCTTTAGGCGTCACGTTGCTGAACACTGATTTACCGCGGATCGCGACGTGAATCACGGGCGGAAACCTAACATTTCTGTCGGATATTTCGCGATAGATTCGAATCGGCGCGATCGCATCGCTACCGTCGTTTCGTCGTTGCAAGCGAAATTCGAGACATCGCGTGAAAGTCAAAAAATTGTACGTCTTGAGACGTTTCCCATGTCGATAAGATAAATTACGTGGGGGAGGGGGGAGGGGGGACTTCGATCGTAAGCCGAAGTCCGAACAACGATTAATTAAATCGCTAAGTCCGAACTGCCCTCGTTAAAAATAGGCGCTCATTAACTGGAAACAACGCTCGCCATAAAATCTGCATAATAACATAACCGACTGAAATACCGTTTCGTCGGTCAGCGTTCACGTTGAAACATGGCTCTCGCTCGTAACCATTCCTGGCAACGTTCGCAAAACGTTCCTCCCAGATTTGTTTTTCGAAAAAAGAAACTTAACGCGCGACCGGTGCGATGCAGTTTTTCCCCGGGATGTGGTAGACAACATTAACAGCCCATTAACTGTCTAGTTCTCGTTGGAAACGTTTATACATTATGGTTTACGGTATATAATGATAGTGTTAATTACTTCCCTATGTATAGCAGTAGCGCTACCCTCTCAGATTTATTGTTCTGTAATTGTCGAACACGTGATTCGGCGTTGATGTTAGAAAGACCGCGGATTTTATGTAATTAGACCAAAATTCAGACCCTTATTCTGTTATTTCTGACACTATATATATATATGAGTCTTTTGGTCTAAATTGCTGTTAGAATTTTGAAAAACCATATAATATAATAATATTATATATAATAATATATATAATAATATATATTATATATATATAATATAATAATATTATAATAATATTATTATTATATATTATTATTATATATATTATATATATAATAATATTATTATTATATTATATGGTTTTTCAAAATTCTAACAGCAATTTAGACCAAAAGACTCAAATTCAAAGCAACAGATAGGCTAACAGAGCTTATCAAAATGACTGAACGAAGAAAATAGATTTTTAGTTGGTTGCTGCTCCCTGTGGCAGATATTAAAATTTTTGTTTCACACGAAAATCCGCAGTCTGCTCGTTAGCCTAAGGTCAAAATAATTCGCCGCAGCTTTAAAAAAAAAACGGATTAACTCGACAAGCTTTATTCTTAAATCCTTTTCATGTTTGTATCGAAGAGTTAAATTATGTTGACGAGTTTGCGAACTGCTGCTTTAAGAATAGATTTATGATCGAATGCATTGAATGCATTGAACCAGTCGAAGCGCATCCGATGCACGGAAAGTATGTTACTTATGTAACAAAAAAGTATGTTACACTCGCCGCGGAAAGTATGTTGACAGCTTTTCAAACGGAATAACGTTTTTAAAATTGGTCCAAATCACTTTATTTTCTTTTAGATGACGCAGGGACAAAGTTTCCTAGGCACTGACTAGACTACTTTCTTTTTATTTTGCTATTCCTTGGAATGACAAAAAAAAATAAAAAAAACTCATGGTTATTAACTAATTTATCTGAGCCCGTACCAAAAATTTAGAAAATGCCTTTTGTAGACTCTCATAACTTATATGCGTACTGAAAATTTCATCGAGATTGATTAAAGCAAAGTCAAGCTGCAAGTTTTTGGCAGATTCTTAAAAAACTGCAGATTTTTGACAGTTCGAAAGAGTCGAAAGAGTGACAAATCGGGAC